CGGTCATCATTATGGCCACACACATATGCATTGTTAGAGGAAGTCTGTGCAGTACCAATGTCTTTTCAAACAGGGAGGAACTTTGACTTCATGTAAGCACGATAAAGTAAGTGGCTGTGGTTGACCTAACTGAGCACAGGATAAGAGGAGTCAGGCTGAGTGGAAGGACAAGCCAGGTCAGGAGAACAGAGTTAAGGATCAGCATAAGGACAAGCTTGGTCAGAACACCAACATTTATTGTCAGGCCTCAACTGGGACAAAAAAATAGGCCTGGACATTTTAGATGGAGTAGCCCATTTTTGTTTCCCGTGCTTAACCCACCCTCAGGGTCAATGGTTCCCAATCTTTTTACCATGCAGCCGAGATGGGGCTCTTGGGTACTCGCTAGGCTCATCGCTCTGTCACCATGTCCCAATCATGCTTGTCTCTCCATAGAAAATTATCAATTTAATCCCACGTACTCTCAATTTCAAACACTACGGAACTTGGAGAGTCTGCTAAGGTTTTTTTTTATATTTTGAATGGTTCTCACTCCAATTCACACTTTGCTTCCAGTTATACTCTATAGGTATACCATTCTATCATCCACCTTGGTCATGCCATCTTAAAAAAAAATATAAAAAAAACCCGTAAGGCGTATTACCGGACCTTAGAACGGCCGGATTTAACGTATTAAAAGAAAAGCACAAGACAGGATGAGATCAAGAATACAGAGTGTACGTAAACAGTAGGCAAGCCAAAGGTCAAGGAATAAAGAAGTCAGAATAGTCAGGAAACAAGCCAAGGTAAAAAATCTGAATAGTCACTAAGAAAGCCAAAGTCCAAGGGATACAAAAATCAGAATAGTCAATAACAAAGCCAAGGTCAAAATACACAAGAATCAATAACAAACGCGCTCTCCGATAACCACAACGGAAATCACGACAGAGCACAGAGAAATGGTCAAAAAAGGTTTTTCATAGCCTAAGGTGCATTATGATTGGCTGCAGAGGAGCATGTGACATTGGAACTAATGGTTTGTAACTAAGGGGTTAACTAGGAACCTTAAAAGGGTTCTGACTTGCAGCAGCCAGCGTCTCTAATGATTTCAGACCCGTACGCTCTGTGAGGGGAGGGGCATCCATCAGCTCTGAGACCGCGCTCTGAATGAGGCCAGCGGGCAATGCGGGGGCTGGTAAATGTATATCGTTGGCATTCCCATTGCCATGTGGGAACGCGACAGCAACGAGATGCACCGGCCGGATCCCATACTCTGACAGGAGCGGATCCGGCGGGCACCGTGACAGTATGGCTCAGACTTCAATTCGAACAAGTTTTCCCAATTATACTCTATGGGCATTCAATTTTCCTCCATTATTCCATATGGGTATCCCAACACCCTGTTAAAGTCTATGGGCATCAAATTTTGCAATTCCTTTTAGTAGGTCCCATCTGTGGCAATCTCTGTCAGCATTTTCTCAGAAGTAGAGTCAGGAGGAGGGCGTTGAGCAAAAAGGGCTGGAAGAGAATGGGGCAGGAGGAAAGTTGAGAGGGAAAAGTTAAATGGTCCAAGCAAGCGCAGAGGACATAAGTAGGGAAGCAGCTGGGAAAGTGGAGCGAATGAAGGGGGAGAGAGGGTAGTAGGTGAGTAAAGGGTGGGGAAGTAGGCATAGAATGAGGGGAAGAGATGAGTGAATGTGTTTAACAGCAGGGGGGGCTGTGGGGCTCAACCTTTTTTTTGGTAAATAGCCTTTTATTGAAGGTTTTCTCATATCAAAGAAACAATAAAATGCAGCTTTACGTTCAGAGTGTATAGAAACAGTGTAACAACTACAAAAAAAAACTTTCGAGATTCGCAGATCTCTCAAAGTAAGTGATACTGATGAGACACGCAGGTCTCCAAGCACTTATATATGAAGAATATGTTTCAAATTTTAGTCTATCCGTCCCACCACCGGTGTGTGGCCCTCCAGAAGGAGTCCATCCCAATGTCACCCGAATACGTGAACCCTCCCTAGTCCGCTCCCGTGCTTTCCTCCTGGGGGGAACTCGTCTAGGTTAGGTGGCCAGGGTAGACATATCCTCTTGGGGCACACCGCTCCCGGCATGGGTGGGGCGTCGTTATCCGTCAGTCTCAAGTCCGTCCTGGGTGGCTGGGGTGAGTCGTAGTCCCCTGGGGTCTGGCCCTAAGGGCCTGCAGTCCGATAATCCCTACTGCCTGGGTTCCTGTGCGGGTTCTAGCATTCTCTGTGACCCCGTGGGGGGCTGTGTACCTTGGGGCTGGTCTGTCTCCCTTAGAGTTGTTGTGAATGAGTCCCCTGCTGTCGTCACTATCCAATGAGTCCATATGTCCAAATATTGTTGTGCCCTGTCTGAGGTCTTCATGTAAACCTCCTCTGTCGCCCTGAGGACTTCCATTTGGGCAAACCACGACTGAAGTGTGGGTGCCTCCGTATTCCTCCAGTGCTGAGGAATGCTTTGTTTTGCGATATTGAGGATCCGTATAGTTAGTGATCGTTTGTATTTGCCACTAGGTGTAGATGTGTGGTGTAGGAGCATCGCCGAGGGGTCAAAGGGTGGTGGCGGGTCCGAAAATATCTGCAGCATTTTATGTATGCCTCTCCAAAAGGATTGTATTTTCTCACACTCCCACCATATGTGTATGTGTGTCCCTGTCTCTGTGCCACATCTCCAGCATTGTGCCGAGTGGTCGGGATGCATGTTGTGGAGGACATCTGGGGTGCGATACCACTGTGTGAGCAATTTATATGCGGCCTCCTGATGCCTACTAAAGGCAGCACAATGGTGCGTTAGAGTGCATATTTTTTCCCATTCCCCTGCGCTAAACTGACGGTGTAAGGCCCTCTCCCACTTCCCCTGAAACCTAGGTGTCTCCACTGGAATCTGCTGTTGGAGTAGTTTGTATAGGATGGATACCCCGTGTGGGAGCGGTTCCGGTTCAAGGCACAATTGCTCGAACCCCGTAGGGATGCGTTGTAATGCCCCTCCCTGGGGTAAGGTTTGCAGGTAGCTCGTCAACTGCGCATAATGGAACTGCTGTAAGAAGGTGGGGGTTCGCCCTCCCAGAAGATCTGGTAGGGTTTTGCGCCCCGTAGGTGTCTGAACATGGTGTAGCCTTGGCAGGAGGTCAGGGATGATGCCTCTTAGTGCCAGTGGGTCCAATCCCGGCTGGAACTCCCCATTGTACGTCAGGGGCAGTAAGGGTGACGGGTAAGGGGTGAGGCCCGCTCTATCTGCTATACCGTACCATACTTTCAAGGTAGCCCTGACATAGGTGGGCGCCCTGCCTCCCCTCCCCCTCGGCAACCACGGGGCCAACGCTATGGGTATCCCTAGCTCCGCCTCCTCCACTGTTTTCCATTGTTTGTGTACATTCTGTTTTGACCACTCCATTATCCTAAGTAGGTGGCATGCTATGTAGTAAAGGTGGAAGTCCGGCAGCGCCATCCCTCCCCGCTCCTTGGGTTGTGTCAGTTGCTGGAATTTTAGCCTTGGCTTCGTCCCCTTCCATATGTATTCCCTCAGGGTCCCATTGAGGGATCCAAAGTACGTCCTGGGGATACATATGGGTATTGTCTGCATCAAATATAGCAGCCGTGGTAGGAAATTCATTTTCACGACCTGCACCCGGCCGAACCAGGAGATGTGGGGGTACGCCCATTCTCCCATCTCCCTTCTGAAGGTGGACAGCATCTGGGCAAAATTGTCTGTAAAGAGATCTGAGCTATGTCTGGGGAGCCAAATGCCCAGGTACCGGATTTTACTATCTGCCCATTGGAACGGGAAGCCCTGACGCAGCAACATCTCCCGATGTTGAGGTATGGATATATTAAGTATACACGACTTGGCGAAATTGATCTTCATATTTGAGATCTCGCCGTAATCCCTAAGAGCCTTAATGATATTCGGGAGGGAGATTTCGGGTCTGGAGACAAAAAAGAGAAGGTCATCGGCATACGCCGCTACCTTATGGTGTACCTTGCCTGCAGCTACCCCCGTAATGTCTGGGTTGCTCCTGATTGCTTGTAAAAATGGCTCCAATGCTAGCACAAACAAGAGCGGGGACAGGGGGCACCCCTGACGGGTGCCGTTTTGGATCATAACGTCCTCCGTGAGCGCCCCATTTACGATTATCTGGGCTCTGGGTTGTCGGTAAATGGCTTCTATCCAGCCCCTCATGTGTGTCCCCATGCCCAGATGTGAGAGGGCCTGGAACATATACGTCCATCCGACCCGGTCGAAGGCCTTCTCCGCGTCCGTGGATAGCAGGAGAAGGCCCCCGGCCCCCGCCGACCCCCCATGGGCTATCGACAGCGCTCTGATCGTATTGTCCCTTGTCTCCCTTCCCATCACAAACCCCACCTGGTCAGGGTGCACCAGGGTGGGAACATGTGGTTGCAGACGCGTTGCCAAAATTTTTGTTAGCAGCTTCAGGTCGCTGTTTATGAGGGAGATGGGTCTATAGTTATTGCAGAAATCCCCGTCCTTCCCTTCCTCTGTAATGGATTTCTGCAGGGCACTGTTTGCCTCTTGCAGATCTGCTTTTGTTGGCAATTTGCCCAGCAGGGCCACCCAGTCTGGAGGTAGCCCTGCGTTCCTGTGCCGTCCAGACTCCTCTCCCCAGGTAGTTGGTGGAGTGTGGTCCGCGGCCTCTGAATCAGTGGAGGCCTGGGAGGCAAGGTCCGCCGGCGTATTCATGTATTGGCGGATCGATGACGCCGGGGACCCCCTTGGCGGCCGACGTTGCCTTGTGGGATTTCCCCATTGTGCTTCCTGACTCGATGCTGGGCGAGGTATAGAGGCAGAACCGGCGGGGAGCTCCCTGATTAAGCCGCCATTTCGCTCGGCGTCCCGGCCACGCCCCCGTGGGGCTCAACCTTGAGGTCTAGGCAGGGGTGCCAGCAGGGCTTGAATTTCGCTGCAGGTGACATCTGGAGCACTGGGTCAGGACATCATCAAACCACAGTGTGAAGATCCCCGCCCCAATGGATCAGGCTACTTCATGTAAAGTGCCGGTAGTTGAGGTTCTTGCTGAGATCTCCAAAGTCTCTAAAACTTTGCGTCAGGTGTGGCCCCGTGAAGGCAAAAACTAGCAAGCTACTGGGCATTTGCCAGTGGTAACAAATATTTTGGACATCTCTAGCCTTGCGGAGTATTTCCTCTTTTAGCCCAAAGTTATACAGGCAGCAGATCACATCCTGGGGTGGAGAGTCCGGCGGCCCCTGACCTCGGAGTGAGCGGTGCACCTGGAAAATGTTAACCAGGGTGTGGGGGATCACTGGAGAGCAGGCTGTTGAAGATCTCCTGCAAGATACCACTGAGTTGGATCGTCAATTCCTCAGATTTTGGAAGGCTGTGGAGTTTGATGTTATGGTTATCATGCAGGTAGACTTGCAGGGCCAGTCTTCAAAGGACTGCTGTGTTGTTGTCACATTCCACTTCAAGGCAGCTTATGCAGTCCATGAGGGCAAGCAGGACATTGCAGTTGCAAATCGGCCTTGATAGAGGCCTGTAATTCACTATTCGCCTCTGAGGTCCCCTTTTGAAGGGAGGTATCTCTAAAGAAGAATCCGCCATGGTTCCCCCTGGGGGATATAGGGTCCCGGTCAGAGACAGGTGAGTGGGGGGCCAGACATGTCAGAGGCTCAGGAGTCTTCAGAATATGGTGGCTGTGAAGCCAGCTCATCCGGCATCATAGGAGGTGTTTCCCTTTGGATCCGGGGGTTTTGGAAGAGGGTTGGTCCCTATTATTGTTTTTCCCTATTGCAATAATCTGTGGCAGGTTAGAACAGGTTCCGGCAGAAACTAGTTTGGGATGAAGGGCTCAGACAGGCATTGCATCGGTCTCCGAGCCAAAAACTAATTTTCATAGTTTATTGCTTGCACCGTATTTTATCAAAGAAAGTCAGAAATGAAAAGAACCAACACTGAATCACGTTATTCATGATAATATTGCTCATCTTACATTATGGTTATATTTGCTAATAATCAACATGTTGAAGGGGCGGAGCCTGACACAGACCGGAGCGGTCGCACATTGCCGGAGCTCCGGTACAATCCACTGAAATCTGCAGAAATCGGGGAAAACCCGCATCACATACAGACTCCCAACCGAGTACTGACCTCGGAGACACACAGACACGCTGATGCCGTTCCTCCTGACACCCGGCTCCAAAAATAAACGCCGCGGCAGCAAGGCCTACAGATCGGGAGGGCAACCTCAGGCCCTTTCGGGAACGCACTGGCCCTGGAACGTCCCAGACTTTGAGGACTGGTACCCCGACACACTGAGCGCAGGTGAGATGGGCCGCAAGACGCAAAAAACGCCCCAAAATACCGCAAAGCCCCAGCGCGATATAGGCCAAATGCTACAGGCCTCAAACGCCATGAAGGCCCAAACTCCTCGAGACACATCCCCACAACCTTCAGAGGAAGGAGACACACAGGACAATCCACACCCCAGTCCCCAACACCCGACACCCACAGGGACATCGGACACTAGCGCACCGGCCTCCAAAAATTACATACAGGCAATGCTAACAGGCCTACAGCAGAAACTCAGACAAATGTGGAAAGCAGATCTAGCCATACTCAAGCTAGACGTACACACGGTGTCAACGCGCACGCAAGCAATCGAAGAAGAGGTCAAGGGACTGAGGGAGAATTACCTAGCTCTAGGGGAGAAAGTGCGCAACTTGCACGCCTCACAACTGACAATGGCTAGGCAAGTTAATCTCTTGGATGACAGAGGGCGCCGCAAAAATATTAAAATTCGAGGGGTGTCGGAATCAATGCCACTGGACGAATTACCGCATTTCGCTAGACGCCTTGTGGCCACACTTTTACCAGCCAAACAGGCAAAAGCATGCCAATTCGACGGGATCTATCGTATAGCTAAATCCCCACAAGCACCCACCTCAGCTCCACGAGATGTAATCTTAAAATGCCGCTCAATGGCGGACAAATTGGGGCTAATGGCAGCAATACAAGGGCTGACCCCACTCGACTTCGAAACATGCAAAATCTCCTTCTTTCAGGACCTGAGCAGAGCCACACTACAATGGCGCAAGAGCATGCACCCAATCACCAAGCAACTCCAAACGGCTGGGATAACCTATAGGTGGGCGATCCCAGGAACTCTCTGGATCACTAAAGGCGACAAGCACTTCAAGGCCACCGAACCCACAGAAGGCCCAGCACTGATGACTGCCCTGGGACTACCGAACCCCACAGAAAACTTGGGGACACCACTAGACCCTCAGCCTGGAACTTCCGAAGCTGAAACAGCTGTGACTCCTGGAAGAGGCAGAGATGCCAAACCCAAGACCTGAGGGACATACTTAAGCCGACAGCCGACTAGGCTTCAGTTCGCACATTCAGTTCAAATGTTCTGTGTAGCTAACCCTGACTCTTAAACTATATATAGTTCTCTGTTTTTTCTCGTTCTGACAATTATTGCAGCACGACCGAGGCTCACTAGATCCAACCATCTATGCTTCGACGACACCTCCCCCCCCCCCTCTCCCTGGGGTTATAGGGAACCGATATCGAGGGCGATATAATAAACCGGACTGGCATCAGGCACATCCACTAGGTTGATAACCATAGCCTGGATCCACACGGGTCCGACCTGATCCTGCCATATTACAGCGACCTATAATCGTCTGGACACACTAGCCATAGCTATGAACTGTTTTAGCGACTACACGCAGCCACCACTAGACTGAAGGGACACCCTACGACTCATAAACCCACATCCTCGGGACAAAGGGCGAGACGTTAGACACAATACCCAGATTTAGTCATTCCCACCCTGTTCCCGCAGCTCACGACCCTACAATACAAGGGGCGATATTGACAGATAGGTACCCTCTATCATCACGATTACCCGACTTACATCACTCGTTATAACATTGAGACCAATTGTATCTATAAAATGTTTGTGAAACGATCCTAGACATTTATTTACATGATATTCACTGTTTTGATGTGTAAAGACTATTGTGGCCTTACACATATGTTTGCCATTTTCACGGACGAAAAATAAAGATTAAAAAAAAAAAATAATCAACATGTTATCCAATATAACATAAAATGACTATGGCTGGTTAGGTGGATTTTTACTAATCTCTATTTTGGCTCTAGATCCTTTGTGTAGCAAGGGTGTCACTTTCTGTTCATCATTACTCAGTCAGGGCAATTGAAAAGATCCACTGTATCCACAATTTTATAGACCAGATAAACCGATAAATTGATCCAAGACTTGTAGTGAAATTTTGGCCTTTTAATATTTTTCTTTTAACCAATGGAAGAGAATGGATAAAGGAAAAAATTGAATAGAGTTGAATTTGAGCTTATTGCTACAGATGTAGATCTGCATTTTGTCATTTTATGCCGATTTTCACCATTTTTTTCTGGCAGTAACAACCCATTAAATACTCTCTCATTGCTCCTTTGTAATTGGAGACCTTAGTCCTAGTGTTGCAAACTTTGAATATCTCAGTCTGAGATTGAACTCCCACTCTTTTTTTTTGCATATCTTTAGTATAATTATTATAATTGTTTTTTTTCCCTCTAACAAATTGTGATTCATTGCGGTCATGGATAATACACTGGGCCAGGCTTACAGCTAATAAAAAAAAAAAAAAAATAGAGAGATGACTAAGAAGTTTGAAAACCCAAAGAAACCAGTAAGGATGTATTTTTCCATTATCTACATTACATTTAACATATTGTTTTTTTAATTATTGTGTTCTAACCACTTCATCTAAATGACGTCATCTGCTCCACTACATGAAAAAACTACATGGAACTCTGAAAATGTTTGACCATTTGTGCCAGTGGCAGAGCGTGGAAGCCCTTCCTCATTCTTGGTGCCCTGAGAACTTTACATACAGCATATTATTGTTTAGGTTATGTTACTAATTATTAATTTCTTTTACTTTATGTTTTTGCATGCTTTTTATAAGCCGTGTAATGTGCTCTAGGAGCACAATTTCCTGATGCGTTCGGAGCTTATGTCCGTTACTAGTTGAATATTCAGATATTTCTGCTCAGTTTCATTATTACCCATCCCTACCTCTCCAACATAGACATTCCAGGAATCAACAGATACATGCTTAGCCCACAGTAGAAACGTGGAACCAAACTTCAGGAAATAAATATATTTCAGATTATGTTGGAGATTTTATGAACACAACATTTAATTAAACATGATAACTAACCTGAAGCAGACCTGGTCAGTCACACATTTATATTAAAGAACCACAACAGGCCACAGTGCCCCCAATGTAAGTAGTGAAACCCTTTGCTACTGCTTTGATTTCTAATCTGGGATCCACGGAGAGACAAAAGCTGCAGGTTGGAGTTTCTTTCTTTTTTTTTTTTTTGTAAATAAAGTTTATATTAGCAGTTCAGACAATAACAGATAGCAGAGCTTATATTTTCAGTGAGACTCGCAGGTCTCCAATTGCGTCTGACATGAGTACCACCAGTGTTAGGTGGGTCTTTATAGAGCATTATTGGAAGCGGAGGGCTGCCGGCCCACACCAGTAAGGGCAGAACGATTCTATAGTTGTTCCCCAATCAAATGGTAAGTAGTGCGGTGGGTCCCAGGTCACGTCCTCTAACGTGGGGAGTGAGAACAGGTTGGAGTTTCTGTTAGCTCTTCTGAGCAAATGTATGCCGTGCTAGGCTAGGTCATTCAATGAAAGTGTCAGTTGATAACTCTCAGCCAATGAGCTAAGCCCTGTACTGCTGGGCTTACCTCAATAAAGACAACTTGTAGCTAGAGAAGAGACTGAAAATCACACACAGTGGACCCCTAGGTAAGAAGTCAAACTGTGAATGGTTTGACTACTTACATTAAAAGGGTGCCTGGGAATTAACAACTACAGAGTGATGCAGTGGTAATGGTGCTTAAAGTGTTTCTTAAGAAAGATCCACTGGTGGAGAGATTGGCAAAATCATGTCATCAATATTAAGAATTCCTATACGTAAGTGTAGATCAGTACCAAAACAGAGAAGAAACAGGCCAGTGTAAGAGCAGGCTTAAAGCAGACACCGTCTATGTCAAACTCGCGGCCCACAAGGACCCTCTTTGCGGCCCGGCGAGCCGCGAGTGCATGCTCAGTGTTATAGCAGAGTAGGCACCTGCTTTCCCCACATTGCAGTTGCCTACTCTGCTAAAACTTATCCGGCCGGGGAGGAGGGAGCTCAGTGTTCCTGCTCCTCACAGCTCCCTTGCGCGCGCCATCTGAAGTGAAGCCAGGCGCTAGAATATGCTGTCATATTCCGGCATCACTAAACCACGCGAGGGAGCAGTGAGGACCCCAGGGAGAGGCCCCACATTGGCTCCATAAGGAGCAATTAAAAAAAGTATGTGTGTGTGTGTCTGTGTCAGTGTGTGTGTGTCTGTCAGCAAGTGTTTGTGTGTCTGTCAGTGAGTGAGTGTGTGTCTCTGTCAGTGAGAGTGTGTGTTTCTGTGAGTATGTGTGTGTCTGTCAGTGAGTATGTGTGTGTGTCAGTGGGAGGATCAGATTTGGCACAGGGTGCTGTGGTTTAGTGGGGTGGGGGCT